TGTTTTAATCCTAAATCTAGTGTTTTGATGATTTTTAAGTAATTCTTGAAAACAAAAATATTTACTCAACCTCTCTATGAAGATTGCAATTCTAAATAGAGATAATAAGTCTATCTCAGGCCTTTTAATTAGCCTATGTTAGAGAGATTGTTCTTTAAACTTTAGATTGAGACTAAATTAATATTATAAAAAAAGAGGTTACAAAAACTCTACCAAGATAAATTAAAATATTTCCCTTCAAGTTTGGAGTCTCACCCCTATAAACCATAATTTTTTTTAAAAAAAAATATGATAAGAATCTTTCATAAATATTTACATTAGTTAAGTTACTTAACGATTCAAATTGGTAATTAAAAAAATTCATAAACTTTAAGAGAAAGATTACAAAAATTAAGAAATTACTCTAAACCTATTAGCAGAGTGATAACTTGAATTGTACCACCAATGTACCATTGGAAACAACTAAACTTATTTATAAGGCTTATATATACTCGTATATCTCAAGTATGTTTCAAGACACTAGTTAACTCTTTCAAATGGCATATCTGTTTGTATGTAATAAATTGAACTCATAAGCAATTTCACTCTTAACAGCTTGAAAAGTTATTTTTAAAATAAACTAGTAAAGATTTTGTCTTTATTAGAGATAATTATTGTAGACAATTCAAGAAATTTATAAAATTATTCTATAAACACTTGTGCTATATCTTATACTGTAAAAGGAAATGAAAAGGTTATAAAATGTATATATTTAATGAACTTGTCCGCTATTACCATGATAACATCCTTTTTTTTTTTAAACTAGTAAGCACTCAACAAAATCTATTATAATGTTTGTCTAAGCTCTTTATGGTACCAATAAAGGTTGAAATAATCATGGATATACCACTCTTTCAACCTTTACTTATTTACAAACTACATATCTTTATATAACTTGTTTAATTGTAAACTTCATAACTGATAAATAAAAAGTAGTCTTTAACCTCTTATATGTATTCTAGATTCCATCATGACCATTAATATAAGAATCATGTATTACATTAACCAGCTTTCTCCTTATAGTGCCTTTTATATTAATTACTATTCTTCTCTTATATTTCAAGACTTCATCTACCAACTGATAATATAGTTCTCATGCTAGATCAATTAACTTGTCATTAGTTATTTTTTATATTTGTTGATCTTTTTTTATAAGTTTTCCTAACTTTTTCATACCAAGTTAGGATGACCACATAAATGATCATTAAATCTCATCTCTCATCAATATTAGTAATATCATCAATTTTTGACCTTTAATTGATTAGTGGCCTTGCTGAAGAAAGTTAGTAGTCTTACTATTTTGACTTAAAATTGCTCTTAATTCTGTTAAACAAGCATCAATCTTTAGAACAAATGTACTATAAAAATTTAATAATGTTAATACGAAAGCTCCATATAAGGTTTTGTTCAACTAATTAAATGCCTCTTTAGGTGAATACATTTAATGAGAACTTGATATTCTTTAGTAAATCAATTAAAGGTTTGTTAATGATGCAAAACCCTTTAATAGATTTTTTTATATATAATATTAGGCTGGTCTTAAAAATCCTCTCAATTCCTTAACTGATTTGGGAGTTGGCTAACCCTTAATTGTTTCAGTCTTTTTAGAGTATGTGGTAACACCATTTGTTGTAATTATATGGCTCAAGTACTTTACTTGATTCTTACAAAAAGAGCATTTAGACCTTTTAGCATACAACCAATTCCTTTTTAATATCTCTAAAACCTCCTTAAGATAATTGATGTGTAGGTCCAATGTAAAGTTGTTTATCAATATATCGTCATAAAACACAAGCATAAATTTTCTCCAAAAATATTCTAATACCTAACTCATCAAAGCATGAAAAATGATAGATGCATTGGTGAGTATAAATGACATTACTCTAAACTCATAATGACTATGGTGAGTGCAAGAATCAATATTTTTCATATCTTTCCCACACATCATGACTTAATGATAACCAAACCTCAAATCCAACTTAGAGTAAAATTGAAACCATATAGCTCATTCATCAATGGAATAAGAAACATATTCTTAATAGTTAGGTCATTAAGCTTCTTATAATCGATGCAAAATCTCTATAAATTATCATTCTTTTTAGCTAAAAATACAAGTGAGGTACACAGATTGCAATTAAGCTAAATTATCCCATTTTGTAACATTTCTTTAGGGAATTTCTTGATTTTGTCTTGTGTATAAAGAATTTCCTATAGGGCCCAATATTTACTAGTTTGGTCCTTAGAACTAATAAAATCTTATGATTTATCTTTTATTTTGGTGGAAGTTATTTTGGTTCATAAAAAACTTCCTAATACCTCTAGCAAAGACGACTTCACTGTGAATTTTGAATCTCTTGTGATGATTCATTAATAACTTTTATGGAAAAAAATGATTAATGTATCTATAAACTATTTTCTTAAAACTCTTGTGTGACATGGTTACAAAAACCATTTATATCTGATCTTCTTTAATAATTCCTTTTAATTCAATCATTCTATTTTCTTTTCTAAATGAAATTTTCATTTTGATAAAATAAAAAAGGATAAACGAGTATATTTGTAACTAATCAACTTCTAAAACAACATTACATTTTCCTTATTTAAGTATTCTCAAATCAACTTTGAATTCATAACCTTGAATAAACCATGTGAATTCAGGACTCTGAGCATCATATAACATCATATTTCCATTTTTCATTATTATTGCCAATATAGTAGTCTTGACAATTACAACTTTAATGCTCTTAATTACACATGCATTTATAAAATTATATGCATTAACACTATCAATTAGGATAATTAAGTCTTTACCCTTACTACTTCCTTTAATCCTAATTATATTGTGAGCATAGCTATTAGTCAAGATATTTAATGATAAGTTGTATTTACCAATATTCTTATTGCGTTTTGTTTTACCACCTTTATTGTTTTACCACCTCTATTTTTTCTTCTATATGGAGAAATTCTTCTATTTCATCTTCGATACCTTTTATCATATACAATCCTTTATTATTACATTGATGACTAGGCATGTACTTATCTTCTCATTTAAAACATGAGCCTAATTTTCTTCTTTGTTCATACAAGGTATCTTATACATGCTTTGTATCCTGTGGTGCCTCATGCTTAAACTAATTAAAAGGTTTAGATGGGATGTTATTTGCTGCTTTTCCTATACTGAAAGGTGAATTCAATCTTTAAACAAACTTGTTTTTTCTAGCTATTGCATTATTAGATTCTTCGTGCCATTTTGCTTACTTGAAAGATTGCATTAATGAAGTAGGTCTTAAAATGTTAAGCATGAGTTTGATATCCTCCTTTAATTCACTAATAAAAATGAAAACATAATATGATACTAATAAAGATGGATTTCACGTGCTCATTAAATACTTCAACTTTTCAAAAATTTTAATATAATCTTTCACATCTTTATCTTGTTCTAACTCATTAAATTGCTCAATTATATTATCTCTGTTGTCAAATCTTTTACAAATAGCTTCTGATTTTTTTTTCTAACTGATCACATATTCACCCCCGCACATTAGTCTTTCAAACCAGATCTCTGCTCTATCATCCAAAATAGCTTGAAGTCACATCAACCCACTAGTATACGGTACTGAGTTAAGTTTGAAGTATTTCTTACACTTTCTTGTATATCATCTAGGATTACCCTCGTGGAAATTTTATAAATCCATTCTTGGCAATGTTGAGTTATTTCTAGACTTGTATTGTTCTTGCCCTGTAACATCATCTCCATGATTATGGCTTCTGAATCCTTGTATGCCTTTTTGACTACTAAGAGTTTCAATATCCCTTCCCGTTGTTGGATTTAGTAGGATTCCTCTGGAATTAACTCCAACTTCTTTTTCTACCATTTGAATAACCAAGAAAGATTAAATATGATGATTCAGTGTTTCAAGCTGTGAACTAATCTGATCAGACTTCTTATCTTGTTCTATCCATCTTGCTTTGTTTGTTGCTATTAATTCTTGAAGCTCCTGATGAATTTTCTATATTAGTTAATAAAGTCTCCGGCAATGCTCCTTCACAACTTTCATCATATTGCTTTCCACCATCCTTTTGAATGTAGAGCAATGATATAATCAAGAATGGCCTAGGATCGGCTCTAGTACCAATTCTTTGTGGCCTCAGCCTAAACAAAAAAGAACTAGAAGAATTGAAAGAAAGGAGAGGAGAAAGAATAATTACTTACAGAAAATGTCATTCATTGATCACTTGCCTCTTACTTCTCCTAATTACACTTTATTATATACAATGAAACCAATTACCAAAACTAGCTGACTACTAAAAAACTTTAACCACCAGCTAACTAATCATTTATCACATGTTTTATTGCTTATTTATACGTGACTAATGTATTCTTATTGGATCTTCATCTGCATGTTCCCAGCCTTCTAGTCCCGCAGCATTACTTCTTACCACTGCCTTATTGAACTGCTGGCTTAACAGCAAACCAAGGAATTCAAATCCTAGAGTAAACTCTTTAATAAACAAGCAATACCGAAACGATACACGGTAATTAACAAGAAAAATAATTAAAAGAGCTAAGAAGATAGATCCATGGAAAACTTACCAAGATCTTGAAGCAGAGAAGAGACCAGGTTTAACGAGAATTGTAGATCCAAATGCGCAAATACTTGGGCGTTGATGGGTGTTGATTTTCAGCAAAGAAAAAGTGTAGCTCTTCAGCAAAAACTTGGGTCTCACCTAGTTTTTAACTTCTGCAAAAACTCTCCAGCGTTGATTCATTGATTAGTTCAGAGGGTAAGGTTATTTTGGTCCTGTAATAGCAAATTCAACAGTAATAAAAGAAGCAGCTCAATAAAACAGAACAAAAGGCATCCTGAAATAGCTTCCCAAATGTGGTTGCGTAGCAAAAACAGAAGCTACCACTCTATACTATAAAATTATCAAGTTAAGAAGTTACCATTTTACTATTGTTTGGAAAATTAATACTGTTCTATCTTGTATTGTTATAAATCATTTCGTTTTAAAGCTCGCGTACACACGCTAATCCATACCCCGTCCAACAGTGAGAAATAACAAGTAATATCTGAAGGAAAGTCACTAATTTCGTGCCCGAGCTTGCTATCGAAAAAAAGAAAATCATCATATCAATGGATTTTGTAAGAGTAATTACCATCTTTCTTGGACTCCAACTACTTTTAGATACAATTAAAAAGAAAACAATGAACGTGAAATATGGAAACTCTCTTTCCTTCCAGCATCAGCTCCGTCTTTCTTTCCTGCATCAGCTCCCTCCCTCTTTCTTTCCAGCATCAGCTCCCTCCCTCTTCTTTCCAGAATCAGCTCCCTCTTTCTTTCCAGCATCAGCTCCCTCTTTCTTTCCAGCAAGAATCATAGAAATTTGGAGGCCTCTACTAAATGCTTGATTGAAGAGCAGGCGAGTTTGGAACTCCGAGACAAACGGGAACCATGACAAGATCGCTATTGGCATGAAAAGCAATAAGCCCATTATATATTCGTATGCCCTTGCTAGCTCCTTTATTGAATCCCAGAATCCTATCCACATAAACAACGACCTGCACGCTTGTCCAATCTACAAAGGACAAGAAATTGGATATTAAAATTTCTCGTTCAGTTAAGACTACGAATCACCAGTAATATTTCAGGTGGGGGGGAGGGCGCCACCAAAGAGAGAGCTGTCCTTTTGGCCAAATAATATTTTGGAAGGAACTGGATTCATAGAATTGTTGGTGTATTCCAGTATAAAATGCACCTTATGTCACAAGGAACTCCATCATGTGAGTTTTTGTTATCCAATAGATTCTTGAATAATATTAATATGCATTGAAGATCATATGGGTCTGAATGAATGCAATATTTGCCAAGGGTAGAATATCCTTTTGTTTAGATAAAAGAGAGGACTTAATCATGCAGTGGCCAACTAAGGGAGAAGTTTTAAAGTACATTGCGCACTTGGAACAAAATGTTTGTACTTACAAGAAGAAGGGCCCAGCCCGTGGGCATGAATGCGAGGATGCCAGCAAATAAATCTTGCATTGTGAGACCACAAACTACAAATAGAACAGTCATGACCGACACGAAGCCCAGAAATAGGAGTGCCTTGAGAATCCTGAACATAAGCTGGAAATCTGTACGGAATTTTCGTCTCCCCATTGACACCATCTGATAGCGTTGGAAAAAACAAACAGAAGGAGGCCAAGTTCAGAAATAAAGCATATAGACAAACCACACACTTGTGAGAAGAAAAAGAAAAACCTGCTATATTCTACTTTCAAATGGTCAATATATAAATTTAAAATGCTGGTTTCCAGTTTTCGAATACAATTATTTCATGTACGTGAAAAATTTATTCAAGCTGCTCCCAATCATATTTACTTTTGCATGTGTTCCATTTGCATGCCACATACCTTGAGCACTAAAAGTGTAGTTAACATAACTATCCATGAAAGTCCATAAACCTACAAAAAAAGATTTGAAGTTAATAGTAGAAAAGTTAGTATTTGGTGGTAGAAATCAACCAAAAAGTTATAGGCCAATAAGAAAACAAAATATCACTCAAATATGGATTGTACCAGCAAACTTTTGCTGTGATGAGCTATATCAAGGTGGTACACAATGCCATATTGGTAGATAAAGAAGCGAAATGCGAGGATTATTTCAAGTAACCATCCCCTGATATTTGTGTGCTTGAGATGTTCTTGTTCTCCACCCCACCATGATTCCCAACTTTTATCAGGTGCAATCCCTATACCACCACGATTTCCCATCCACCTTTTCCAATCTGTCCAATCATCCACTGTTTTTTGCCAGTCAAATCCAGATGGATTGAACACAAATGGAGCAAACAACCAGGATCCAACCAGGATCCACATGGACAAGGTGACAAACAAATAAAGACTTGAACTGCGATATGATTTCCCGTAGACTTCATACACGACCAACAATATAAATAGTTCCAATCCCTTAACAAAGTGACTTCGTGAGTATAGCCTGTAGTTTTCGGCAAACTTTGCATGGAAAACAACAAAGCCACGCCCAGTAGCTCGATATTTGGAACCACCATGCAAGATTGTTCTTCCATAATAATGTGCTTTAGTTCCAAGCTGGAATGTAAAGAACACTGAGGCAAGCTGTAGCTGCATAATGACAAAATCACCCAGAGCAGTGCGGAACCCTTTCTCCAAACCAATTTCCATGACCATGGGTAACACAAGCAACAAGCCTAGCTGAAAAATGGATTGCGGAGCCAAAGCCTGTTCGAGGGCCTTGCTTTCATTTACGCTCAGGTCCATAAGAATCTCCCTTTCTAATCCACTCATTACCATGTATAAGCGTCCATATAAGAACACATATACAGTAAGCACGGTTATCTGAAACAACAAAAGCATACCAAATCTAGTTATAACAACAAAAGCATACCAAATCTTTCTAATACACTCTCCATTTCATGTAATTCTAATAGGACTTGAAGTAAATCATGCGTAAGAATATTAAAATGGATTCATGTAATTCTAGTGACCTGAATCGCTTGATGTTGTCTAACCACTGATCTTATACTGCACAATATCATTTATCCAATTCAGATGATGATTGAAATTGTTGAATTTCATAAAATTTGGGTTGTTCTGTTCTAGTACCTCATTAACACAGAAAATAATTTAGAAACTATTACTATATGATATTAGTCACAACAGAGGATTGTAGCATAAGGCCCAAGCTGACAAACTGATGCTATACTTGGTGTTTAATTGTTTATATTTTGATACCAGCATAAAATGAGTCTCTTCCTCAACAGTGAACAATCAGCAGCTTGAAATCTGTAGATAAGAATAATCTGAGCAACATTTACCAGGGAGCATAGTTATGCTATGCATGTTTTTTTAAAAAAAAAAAAAATAGGGAGGAAGAAGAAGAATCCTCCAAGAAATAAGTAACCAATACACAGGGTGTTTCTGTGTATTCTGAACCTACTGCAAATTAAATTAATAAATCACTTTGAAGCTCCATATGCAGAGCTCCTCAAGGAGATCAATATACCACCATAACTCAAAACTTAAAGCAAAAGGGATATCACCAGTGGTAGTCATGGAGACTCTATTAGAGTTTATAGGAAACAAAAAACTAAGAAATCTGTTCAGCACAAAGACAGTAAAATAAAGAAATCAGATCAGCATACCATGCTACTGAAATAGAAACCAACTGTTGTAAAGTAGAACGAGAGCATCCTATAGAAGTCAAAACGTCGCCCTAATCGATAAACATCACGGCTAAGGGTCTGCTCTCCATTTCCATTTGCAACCTTTGCCTCAAAAGATGATATTTGGTTCATCCCCACATCACGCCCTTTTCCTACTTGTATGTATTCATGATGTGTTACATATCCCCCACGTAGAGTTGTGTTGTATCCTGAAGAGAGTGACATGCTTAATCATCGCATGGTACTTATGTGATGTCAATAGTGTTCAAATCCATATAAAATTACCTGCAAATATATCCTCGCTTAAATTTATTATTTTTGAAGCTTTGCTTATGCCACCCCTTGTTATGTGGAAGATTCTGTCAAATATATCAGGATGGCCATAATGGAATCGTACCCTATAAAATCAGACAACATTTATTAGAATCTTATTCTAGCAAAGTGCACCACTGAAGAATAATCTTGGTGCACTTTGGTCTTCAAAACAAGTATATAAAACAAAGTTTACTTCAGTTTATAGCTTACAATTATTCCTATATTTGAAAGTTGAAACTCTATGTAGTTTTAGACTCCTACTCTTTTCTATATAAAAAAATAAAAAAGAAAAAAGAAAACCAGGTTCTGTGGTCTTTTAATACTTTTAATCTGGAAAAAAGTTCATCATTAAGTAAATCTAGATATCTTGTACTGGTCAACGAGTCTGTTCTAAGGAAAAGGGAAAAAACAGTTAAGTGGTGGTTTAGACTTAAGATTGGTCTCTAAGGGAGAAACTTTCCAGTATCAATCAATGCAAACTTTTTTTTCATTTCTCGTTTTCTTTTCTCAAGTAGTGAAATATCATCTGTCTGAAGTTTGAAATATTTTTCTTCCATGTTAGATAATTAAAAAGGAAAAATAGAAATGTGCGTGGATACAAAATTTAAATGATGCAACGAGTTTTCAAATTGTAAATGACATGTAATACCACATAAGCATACATTGATTGCTGGCTAAAATTAGGCTTACCTTAGAGGACTAGCCAAGATACGTTGGCCAATAGTCACAAAGCTGGTCTCTTGATTGGACATGAACCAAGCGAGTGATGAAACACTGTCAAAAGAAACGGAAGAAATATAAGGGTTTATAATATTAAAATCAAAACATTTCTACTACATAATTCTTTTTGCACGCCAACATGTGATGCACAACCATTAAATGGTAAAGCTGACCTTCCAGTAAATATATGCTCCCTTATACCCAAAATCGTTGGGTTTTGTTTCCTACAATGAGATTTTTTAAGCTCCTCCAACACATTTCTCATTTTAAAAGCTTCTTCAAAGTAATTGTCCTGAAACAAAGAGAAATTTTAGTGAATTACTGTATAATGTAATTTATAAATGACTGGAAAAGGAATAGAGAGATTACCTGATTCATGTCTATAGTCTGTAGGGCTTCTCCACGAGTAAAAATAATGGCATGATTTTGATTTTCAGGTTTTCCTTCACCAATATCTGTCGGAGGACCTGGAAGCTTGATTCGGTAGATTTCCTAGCAGTGTAAGGAGGACAACATGTAAGAGAACATGCTTTGGATTTGTAGAAATGGCAAAAGAAGCTTGTACACAGGAGTAGCATTAACAATCAACTTCTCTCAATATTTTTTGACTTGAGAACACAGACAGGACATGTTTCTCATACCCAGCATATGAATTGAAGTGTCTAAACTAAGCAGTTAGGGAAACATCACATAAATGCAATTGTTCCTAAGACACAGTCCCTAAGAAGTACAGTTTATTTTACAGGTGCATATAACAAATTACTTCGTTAGATTATCTAGCAGACAATAACCAGAGTTTTTCCAGAAGATAACCCTGCAACTACGACCCTTTATTGCAGTTTGAAATGTGATAAATTTAATTGGAAGTAATCAATTGCTCTTCTTAAGTGAAACATAGAAATCCCGAAGCACCTAAATTCCATACCAAACAAGGAATCAGTCCCGTACCTCATCATACTTATCACCCCCTTTGACGAGAACAGAGTAATACAGCTTTTGAGATTTTCCATTCACTGTGGTCTCTCTTTCATCTATGTAAGCAACACGCAATGATGGATTCCTGTATTAATGGTATGTAATGAAGGTTGCCATCAACCTTTTGTATCTAAATGGAGAACTTCATGTAATGTATTGGGACAAATTTTAACTTACGCTAACATTAAATTCAGAATATTGTTGTAACAACTCCGGTCCCGTTGTTCAGTGGATTTTTTTTGAGCCCCATACACCTGACAAGAAACAACATAGGTGAACTTCAAATCAGCCAGAGCTTGTGCCTGATCAAAATAAGCTTTTTGATCCGTCTCAGGTTCCAAGGTATGGAAGCCATTCAAAAGGGCTGCAAAGCAAAACGATGATTAGCTTTTTGAAAAAATAATGTACCATTAGAGGCAATGGAATCAAATGCTAAATTTCAGAAGTAATGGCGAGTATATATGTTAAGAAATCACAAACCATCATCTCCTGCAAATTCTAATAAGCACTGAAGTTCTAGGGCTTGTCTATAGTACATCATCCCTCTCACTGGAAAAAGAAAACATAGAGAATTATGTGTGCACCCGTACACGTGCACACACACACGGTCACATGATGGCCTAGTCAACATCCACAAATGAAGCAAGTAAATAAAGCACCAAAAACCTTCACTATTCAAACCTGTTCTAGCAAGGGTCTGCCCCCTATAGGATACCCACTGACGAGTAAACTCCATCTTCTCTTTGGGAGATAACATAAGTTTCTGATCATTTATACGTTCCTCAAAATTTTTCCATTCATCTGTTTTGCATTCATTTGTATTTGATAAGTTTAACTCCATTATAAACACTGAAAGTGTGATGCAGGAATTGGTAGAAACTCACCACGATATATTGTCTTTAGGTAGAACAAAATCGTTATCCCATCTTCATTTTCCTTATGAAGTTCATCATCGGAATAAAGAACATCTTCTTTGTAATAGGGAGTCAAAACACTAATGATATCAGAAAAGAAATCTAACGTCAAAAAAAAAAAACTAAAATAAGTAATCATTTATTTATGACCAATAAATGATCTAAATGGAAGAAAATAAGCAACACAGCACATGACCAATTCTAAAGATAGTGAATAAGAGAAGAAACTGAGCAATCCTTCTTAACATAATTTTTATCATGTTCGCACAAGATTATCATTTCTTCATTTCTGATCGGATTGTGGTAACAAGCCATGATCATGTTAAAGATGATTTATTTTTAGAATATGTTGTTCCTATGAAGAAAGTATAGACAAAAACCATTGCCACCTATTACATTTTTTGCTTGCAAAATTCGTATTTTTCAATCACTCACCTAAAAGAGAACATGTCTCGGACTTTTGGAGCCTTCGGCATGTTCATAAATAAGGAATTTGTAAAGAAAGTGATTCGGCGGCGAGCATCCAAGTTTGATGGCACATTTATGGCAGATTCCTTCGTGGTCAAAAGTAAATGAAGCCTGAGGACCTGCAGAGAGATGTTGAACAATATAAAAATTAAAGATGTATATGTCACAAACATGATATTTGTAACAAAATACAAGTGTTAAGACAACCTTCTCCCTCCAATAATTGTTATATGCAAGACTTAGATTTATCTTTCTAAACATCTGTTCTTTCATACTACTTTGATCACTCAAGGTGTTGGAGTGAGCTTTTTCCAAAATTCTGCAGGGATAGGTAGCCAAACATTTAGTTATCAGGGCTCAATCTGTCATAAACCATTTTGACATCCCATTAAGTTAGTAATAATTCAGAACTTACTCATGGCCATGCAACATAATATCCTGAGTGATAATTTCTATAATAGACTGGAGATCATTAACTATCTGAGATTTGTAGATGTCATCATTAGCACAATCACCTAGCTGTCAACAAATTAGTGTGAGCAGTCGAATATGAGCAAGTGCAGACCATGATGGAAATAAGAAATAAAAGAAAAAGGAAAGCATAAAGAAAGCACATTACCAAGTCTTTTAGAAATCTCTCCAAACATTCACTAAGCATAGGCAATCCACTCATCCGGAACTCATTCAAAAATCTATGTTGTTGTATGCTTATATTTACCTCGTGAAGAATTTGTCTGACAATCCTGTTGATAAAAGAATAAATAATCGATCATAAATGGCCAGATTCATCTTATATCACTTTTGAGACTCAATCTAGTAAGATGAATGCTTCTTACATCTTATCTGCATCATCTTCCAGAAGGCCAAATATTATGTACTCCAATGCCTCATAACACTCAGTCACTGCTGATTGCATATACTCATCCATCTTTCTATATAACTCAGCATCCTCCTTGCCCTTGAAATCTTTTGCCATGTCCAGTGCTATAGGGATCTGTCATGTGTCAATCAACACAAGGAGATAAGGAGATAAGTTAGAATTGGAATTGCATTGAGTACAAATATTAAGAATACCAATGAATCAAGGTACATACCTTGCTAGCAAGCAAAAAAGGAGGCCACTGGAAGACAGAGACACCACTTGAAGAATAAGGCACAAGTAGCAAGTCCTTTTCACTAAATAGTGAAGTAAATTTAAAATCTTACAACTAGGAATATGATACACTTAATGTTGTAATAAATTGTATAGCAAAAAGAGCCTTAACTGATTGCTGATCAAATCTTCCATTCTCAAAGAATATATGAACTCATTCCACACATGTGAAAAATTTGCAATATTTTTTCTTTCTGATTCCTCATCCTGAAATGACAAGAATTGTTGATTTAGACCAGACAAATAAGAGAGGGTTCCAATTGATTGCTATATAAAACAAGCTGGAAAACAAAATAATATTGCCGCTTTTGTATGACACAAAATGCATCCAAGATGGAACATCAATAAAAAAAAATATCAAACTGCCAGTGCAAACAAACAAACTACTACAACAAAATTCGTTAGAATTAATCACCAAATGTTTCCTTGGAGTATCCTCATGTGATGGCACAAGATGGTGACTGAAAGCTGAAGGCACGGATTCAAATCTGGACCGTAACATCCCTAAGGTCCTTATCTGAAAATAAAAAGTTACGAGTGTTGTGCAGGATGAAAACCACAACTTGTCAACTGCATATTTTCCATACAATCAAATATGAACTAATATTCCAAATGTTCTATAACAATCAAAATAATGTTGAATAAATGGGATCATTGTGCACCATATGATTGCTAATATATCATTACATAAGAACAAAATGACCACTAACCTCACCCAAATGGCTGACGGCTCCTTGAATCCCACCAACAAGAGTAGAAAATATGGCATACCATATTTGTGCATCCAAAAAATAAACCTAATATAATAACAGAATTTACCCCAACTTAATGTAAAAGTTTGTTATGAAACACAATAGTATAAAATTTCTCATTCCTAAAACTTCATATTCAGTCCACTTACCAGAAGAATAGGAGTCCATATAGAGATAACAACACCAATGTTATACGGAACTACACCAGTTTCAATACATGACTTAGTTATAGCTCTATGATGAAAGAAAGTACAGAGAGTAATAAAAAAGAAAGAAATATTACGTTGGGGAAAGAATTCATGCCATTGATAGTTATTAACATGAATCTCCATAATCAACTTTGTCGGTTCAACTAGAGGCAGTATCTATTCACAAATATGCAACATATGGGTTATAAGCAAATGAATATGACAGATTGTACAAGAAAACAATGGTCCATGTAAAATGAAATTAAAAAGTAAAGAACCTATAGCAGGGACAAATACAAAATAAGATTGTGTTTTTCCACATCCATGGTATAGTTGTTGTAAAAAATCACTATAACAGTATAGTAATTCAGGAAAATTATGTTTCTCCCAGTATTATACATGGCCTTCAATATTATTTCCCACAGGAATTGTAATTTTTTTTTTAATCTCTAATCAGCCATGTAATTAAAAGTTTTAGCCTTGGAGAAATTTGAAATATCCCATGTGGAAACTACATCGAAAAAGCTTTTCAAATAGATGTAAATTCCAGGAAGTTAAGTTTTTATCCCTAAAATGCATACAATGTTCTTTAAATTAAAAAGTACATATATTTGTGACGAGCTATTCCACAAGAGGAATACCATTTTAGATGGTATAGAAAAGACTTTAGAGTTCCTCCTAAACTTGTACGTGATAATTCTATACTCTTATTTTCATGTGTATAGATCCAAAATCCAAATACATGCATATATGTAAATTTATAACATTTTTGTGCATGCACATGTATGTATGCTGTGAGTACATAATGCATTTAGACTCAAAATATTGTTAACAAAATCTTGTCCCAATGGATATTGTAATTCAACAATTAAGATGTTTAAGAAGAAAAAACCTCCACATAGTAGCTAAATGCTAGCTTGCAAATTATCAACAGGACCCAGAACAAAGTATACCTGTGCATAAAAAAATATCAAGATTTTATAAGAAAGACCTCTAGTTTATAAAGGCATCACATTCATTTTAAATTTCCCAACAAAAATTCTTACATTGATAATTATAAGAGCCAAATTGTGCAACTTCCTAGTAACCTCATCCCCCTCCAAAAAGGTAAAAATAAAATAACAATCAATAGCATTTGTTTCTCTTACTTTAAAAGTGAGAACATATCCTCATGCATGCCTCTTCCTAAATATAGTTTTGGCTGCATCAAGGTAAAAGAAATGTTAAAAAGAAGGCTAGGTTGAAGAGAAAGAAAAAAAACTAGAATATCAACCAAACCAAAAATACACACATGCACACAAACACTGGAGTCAGAAGTAAAAGTGCTAGATATGCTTGCCTGAGCCCACCACATTATGAGAGTGACAATTTGCCAGTTTGAACGTTCCATGGTTCTCCGTAAAGGTGGAAACACAAAAAGTAAAGCAGCCAACACATTTGGTATCAAATAAATTGTCACGGCGTAAGTATAAAATGATTGATTCTGCCAATCCATAGACCAAGTGCTAAAAAACTTTACAAGTCCGGTTGGATTCAGTACAGAGCTGGAATAACCAATTGGCAGAACCACGGCCCATACAGCAGCCACAATAAACTTTAGAAGGTATCGTAGTATCTGTGTTACGTTTAAACTCCTCCATGCATTAAAACTCAGAATTATATCTAGAGAAGCTGCAAAACCAAAGATGACAATGTCAAGGGAGCACCAAAAAAGTCGCTCAAACTATAACAACAAAACCATAGCAATATAACCATATGCAAAACTTAAACAAATGCATATTAATGTTTAATATTGAGAAATTGCCAAAAGAAATGCAATCACAAGGCTTTATTTCACTTGGTTGATGTCTACAATAACTGCTACCATTAGCAAGACAATAATTCTGGCAAAGTTTTCATTTCTGATGAATAGAAGCAATGAAATTAAAATAACAATAAAAATATTGTTTATTTTCTGGACAAGAGAAAAATTATTAAGAAATTCATCAATACCTTGCAAAAGATTAAGGAATGCAAAAGTGACAAAAATGCTCAGAACACTTTTGAAGACATCCTCATCAAAAAAAGCTACAATAGATCCAGTAGGACTCCACGCAATAATTATCATAGCCTGGAAAAAAAGTTCACATTCAATAGATTCCTAGTAGAGAAATTGATTGAAGACATTAACCCAGTAACATTTTAGACCACCTGCAAAGCCAATATAAAAAATATCCACATTCGGTCAAAACTCCTAAAAAGGTGCCAGAAAGTGCGGACTTCAACAAAATTAGTCTTAGGCTTCCTCGTTCCACCAGTACCTTGGTTAGACCTCTGCAAAAAGCATACAAACTTCAAACATAAAATGTTTGGAAGAAATACATGATAGACCACTCCCCAAAACAATTAAAAAAAATAAAAATGAAAAGAAATTCAGGAAGAGAGAAGAACTTCAATGGTTCAATGTTGAAAACTAACATTATTATCAATGGTTGAAAGATCACTAACATCATTACATCATATTTTACAGAAACAAAAAAGAAACCAGTCGAAACATATTTTAAAAATAGAGATGTAAATTTAAAGATCAGCAAGAAACAGTTGATAACATACACAATGCACTATAATTTCTCATTTTTGTGAAGCATAATTATCCGCATGCTTCAGTAAAAGGCTACTACACTAAGGTCAGGGTATGTTCAAATGCCTTAATGTTTTTTTATCCTTCTTGGTTGGGGGGGTAGGGGGAGTAGAGAGATACCTCATTTGCATGCGACAACTTATCAGAATGAACAAAAAAATCTGCTCGAAGGTCCATTGGCCAATTTAACTTGAAACACTTGTCAGACCTGAAAAGATGGAAAAAGTTAGCTATCAGTCATCTTGACTAATTGTGGAAACAAAACTTACTCTTCAAAGGATCTCACCAGAAGTACTCGTTCAGGTCATCATAATTTCTCCATTTTGAATGGCTAGCCTTGCCTCCTTTGTTTCTCCTTGCTTCCTTTTTTAGAAAATGAAATCATCTTCCAGATATAAAATGCAAGTGAAACATAAATAATAAACAGTAAATTTAGTGAAAAATCACCTTGCGCAAAACCTTATAGATTGGGGTGATAACATTTCTCAGAAAGGTTTCATCATCAGGTGCTGTTGTTTCATATGTCTCCCCACTAGCAGGATGCACGTTGCTATATAATATTCCATAGACTTCATGTGCCATCTTGTACATAGGGAAATAAGGAGAGCATTACATTTGCATAAAATACTATAGAGGAAGCTAATCAGATACTACCCTAAAGAATGATTCATTAGATTTTATAAGATAGGAGAATTATATGCCTAAAACTAATTCCTAGTGATGATAGAGTTCTGCTGCCTTAACTGGCATCAATGTTTCTAATAAATTGATTTAAACAACTATTAAATGGAATGAAAATAAAGGCACTATGCTATATACAAAATTGTTACCAAATAACAAGTTAGATAGACAGATGAATTCCAGTATTTGAAAACCAAGGCTAAAAATTTTACTTCAGAAATTAGTAGATGATAAGCTAATTCTAAGAACTGTTTACCAGTAAAGAGACCTCATAAGGCACTTTCTCAAGATGCTTTTCTCATGCAACTTAATAATGGGAGACACATGAACACCTTTTCATATATTGTCGTCTAGCTTGGGATATAAAACACAACTTGTGATACCACAGGTGAGCATCAACAACCACATCAAGATGGAAGAGTTGTTTTCCATGCAATTGGTGGGTTTTGGGAGAAAGGACAGTAACTTTTTGTATAAATATGCAATATTTGCAGTGGCATGATACAAAAATCAATTCAAACATAATAAATGTGGGACAAAATTATTTTCATAGCTAACTTCTATGTGGGGGCAATCTATCTAGGGCATTTAGGATTTTCTTTAATGGATATTCAATGAGACTAGAAAGCCATTGCTTTTTAATTTTTAACAATCTATTATATTCTCCACGGAAGTTGGCTTGCTCTCCTTATTCAGGATTCCTTTTCTATTAAGATCTTACTTTTTCTATTAAAAAAACTCAGCCCCTTTCTTTAATTCATTTAAAATTATATTCATCTCTTTTAGGAAAACGAAGGACTAAAATGAAACCAGAAGAAGTCAATCATAGTTCCTACACAACATATTATGTTGATTGTACTTCTAAGACTCCTATGGATATCTAAAACAATAGCTTATCATAAGAATGATAAAAAAAATTGTTGCCATGCTAATATTATTTAATTCAAACTTGACAATACTACATGAAAAAAATCTTATAAAAAAACATACATTGTGGAAGATATAGCAAATGCATTCTGGCATGAATCGTATATTTGAAGCTTCACCCCATATAAGAAGATAGAGTGCAATGTAAATAAGCTTCAACTGTTGGTTGTCAGACTTTGTGGGAAACCTACAAGATCAAAAAATTTCAAACACCTGAAAAATACATCTTTACCTACTGCAATCTTAGGACCATAACTTACTCAAGATTTGATTTACAACGCAAATAGTTACACCACGAATGATAATTCTTGAAAACTGTTTCCAACAATCGTTGTATGGTCCCACTATTGAGCTGAAATAAGCTTTGTCTCAATCTTTGAAAGACAATGATATAAAAAAGTAAAACAAAAAAGGGCTTTTATAGAGAGAATAGAAGAATGTTAAATTCATATAAGATAAGTGAGTATAAAACATCAAGCTTTTACCGTAGTATAATCGTCAAGACTCCTATTCCTTACATCCATATTGGCTAGTAGCAATATCAGGTGCTCCCTCTGATTTGCCACGTTTCCTCGCTTTGATTCCATGGACAAGATAAGAATATGAGTCATAACTGAATTAGAAACTTGTATGCATTCAGTTGACTTGAGTATATGAACATAGCACACAAGTTTTATTATGACCACCAAAACTACAATATTAGTGAAACCCCCACTGGTTATCTAACGAGATAAATAGATAGTCAATCATGCAACACCAATCTTGTTTTTTCATTAGTTAGTCACATTTGATTATTAGGAGGAGAGAGGAGGGAGAGTTCGTTTTCTTTTCTTTTTGTAAAGAAGAGGAAATTTTATTAAGAAAGGAAAAGATAATGGAATGCTCCAAGTATGATAAGGCATCTTCTAAACTAAAAAAAAAAATTCTTCTACACGATGGCAGAACCTCAAAGAGACAGGCCCTCATCAGGCATTGTTAATTTTCTAAAATACTATGTACATTTAAGTTCCTTTACTTTTCAAATATTTAATTTACTCCCTATGTCTCCAAATTTATTTAGAGTTGGATCCTTGATTTCAAAATTTGCTTTTCTTTTTCCAAATTAAAAGTCTCTCTCCCTCCATACATGTTATTTCCAAGCAACAAAATGCACATCCTTAAAGTGTCAATAACTTTTCTTTTCTTTTCCACGCATAAAAAAATTTAAAATAATATTTGTACAATATGCTCACTAGACCATCAAAGCTAATAAAAAAATTTGACACATCATCTTTTTTTCTCTCTTCTTTTTTGGACTTTTGACAGAATTAAATTATTGTCCAAAATTGGCATGGACATAATTGAATAATGACACAAGCTATAATACTGTATATTTAGTCATGTTCTTACGTCCCCTAAAATTTTGTTCAAGATCTGCCACTGCTTTTACAAATCATTCTGAAAAATCAACTAACACAAATAAGTTTTAGAAACTACCCTAACTCAAAGTAATTGGTTGGACAACTGACATTTCTCAAAAATTTCTGCATTTCTCTCCATTCAAACACACCATGTCAGTGCAATTGCCACACCTCTCTAAAGAGTTTTGCCTTCTTTGCCTCTCCCAAAACCCAAAGCAAGTGAATAACAAATCTTCAAGGTTTTACAGCACATCCATAGCTCACCAAAGAAAATGGCCCTGATCTTAACCACAAAATTCATTTATTTCTATCGATTTAGTATAACTAGTTTGAATGGAAATGGTATAGCTCTGAAGCAAACCATTTCCAGACTGTTCTTCATAAGTTATTCCAAATTAGAAATACTTCGTCTTTATGTCCATTTAGAAACATTCTGGGTTTTCTCCACAAGCATTAAAAAGAGATGCGTTAATTTCTTCATTACTTTCGTTGTAATCCCCCCGTTGCCATATAAGATTCACCTAGCTTCATAAGGAATAATACTGCTGACAATTCTCAAAAAGAATAAGAGAATAAAGTATATGAATGATAGTGAACTGAGACCCGAAGGTCCAAGCGTTCAAGTATGTGAGTCATTTAAGCAACTTAAAGGTCTAGAAGCTAACATGCAGATTACTTCAGGACTGACAAACAAAAGACCCAAAACTAACATTTTAGCTGTAAAAGAAGAAAACAAATTGCAAAAATAGAATTGAAGGTGTATCTTACCTGAAACCCAAAAATAGATGAGAGCCAATCAAGTATGTCATTGACAGATATAACCCTTTCCTTATGCATGTCACTAGAGGAATCATGCGGTAGTCTAATTCTGAGCATTGGAAGGTTATCCACATCACGTAGAGCATGAAGTGCGGCTTTGATCTATATTTTCAAGGATGACTATGATAAAGTTCAGACATTCACAATCAATGTAATTAGCTCAAGCAAAACCAAGATTACATATTCTACACATATCCAACCTCTGGAAGTTCCATGATTGCTGGTTTTACCCCAGCAGCATACAGTGGAAGAATGTTGTAGTGTTCGTACCGTCCCCTTTTCCTCTTAACATCCTCAGCATATTTCTCTGTCTGTGGTGGCAATAGGATCAATTGAACATACACGATTAAGCACCTTCCACATGCAAACATGTACCTTAAGAGCTCATGCCAGGATGCTGAAAACAATTAAATCAAACCTCATTGTCAACTTTTCCTGCAGGTATGACTGTTTGCAGCACATCATATAATACTGTAGCAATGCGAAGAATCTTAGCCATCTCCTCCCTGCAAGAGTTGTCACAAAGAATAAGATATGATAGATGCTTAGAAACTTTGGCAAGACAGCAATTGGATAAAAAAATAAATAAAGAAGAAGAAAATAGGCTAAAAAATAATCAAGCCTCACGGTTTTTTTGTATGCTGTGCATCTTTAATGTTCTCCTTGTAGAATTTTTGGTAATACAACTGGATTTCGCCCAGATCAGTTTTAGCAAGCTGAGGCTTTGTTTCTACATCTTCCTACAAAAAGGGGAAATTTAAGTAGTCTTAAATCATTTCTCTGAGAACTCCAGAATATTATTTCGAGTGCATTCTTAATACAGTAATCTTATGATATCTTCTTTTTCACAAAGGAAAATTGTAATCTGAATGTATTATTGAGATAAAAGGAAAAAGGTATAAATAATCCTAGTTTATATATTGAACAGGTTGCCTAATGGACAATTAGGCTCTAGGAAACTGTGATTAGGCTAAATCATAAATCAGTTAAGCAATTTCTCTACAATATGATCTTCAATATTTAGTTCAAAGCCCACGTTTTTCCTTCTTAATGAAACTACACTTTACTCTAGCAAAATATGCAGGTTGAGAACAATCCCCAGGAGAGTGCGAGCACAAAAGAAATAAATTATGGAACATATATTTTTCTATAGTTGGAAGAATTTGGAAGATAACAGGATAGCAAGCAAGAATTGAAAATAAAAGGAGATCCAGGGTAGAAAAAAATCACATCAATACCAATCCATCTATGCTGCAGAATATCATGAAAGACAAAAGGAACGAAGATCATCCACCAGCATGTCACTAACAATTAAAGTATTTCTATGCGATAATGAGATTAAAGGTTATATAGCCTAAGACAATTGAGATTTTTCAGTATTGAACAAGTTACAGCTGAGAAATAATTCCACATAAAACACATGCTATTCTTCCAGGCACTACACTATTCATCTAAATTTCTATACTGTTAGTGAGCTTATTACTAATTGCCACGCCCACACCTCTCTACCCTTCTGGGTGAAGACATTCAGCAGTATACCTTTCATAAGATGCACTTGCACTGGGAAGTGGATTCTGAGGCCTTTTAACAGAAGCAAATTAAAGATATTGAAAATCCACAAGCAACAACAGCCACTCTTGTATCTTAAGGCCTTTAGAGGCATTTTGATTGTGTAATAAATTTGTTTAGGTGAGAAGGGAAGAGTGAAGAATGTGATTGAGCCAGTTAAAAATCAGACTTGTTTATCCACCTTCAGACCTGAGAACAAGGAATCTAGCAGCTAATTTGGAGGAATAACATATATACATGATATGGAGGATGATGGATCACTTATTAGATAGCAATTGAAATTCAGAGGAAATTGAAACGAAAAATTAATTTAGGTTCAAATATTAACATCAACAGTTTCCCAATTGAGACGTAAATTCTGTAGAGCACCAACAATATGCATTGCAGAGTGGCACTGAAAGTGGTGTCCAGAACAGGATTCTATAAATGTTTCTAATGGTTAGCGCATCCAATAGAAAGGCTTATGTTAGCTGGTGAGCAAGCAGCACACTAAATTAGGCTAAACCAGACTTTCTTATCCAGCTCGTAATATGATTATACAATGTCCATGTCATGTTCAGGCCCACCAGAACCATGCAAATGAGACATATTAGACAAGACAAAATACAGGCAATTTCTAATACCTTGGAAGTGTATCCAACCCAAAAGGTTCCGTAAGCTATTATTACAAAGTCATACCAAACTTCAGCTAGTATGCCAAGAATGCTTGAAGAAGTTAGGCCAGCAGTATGATGATTACTTCCATTGAGATTCGAGTCAGCAGTATGGTAATTATTTTTAATTAAGAATCAGGCAAGCAGTTAAACTGAAAAACCCCGATACCCTAAAAGAAGCAGGATAGAAGGTAAGCAGGCAGTTATTTTTACGGTTGTGATCAAACCACTACCTAAATTTGCCTCGTTTTACAATATGAACACAATTGGCATGTAAACTAATTTTGAGTAACATCTTGAACTCCAAAGCACAAATTATGATGATTTTTCATAAAGCAGTGAAGATTTTTAAATTTACCAGATGCCGAGGAGCAAATACTGCCTGCCAGTTAAAATTTGAAATGCTAAAACGACGGGGATTTATACTGAGAACGCTATGAAAATTTCAGAAACAATGCACTTAATGCAAATTCAGTTCATTGGTAATTGAAACAAGAAAAGAAAACAGCTATAAGCTACAAAATTCATTCAAGAAGAACAAAACCAACACCACAACTCATCTAGTGTTTTCGAGAATCTAATAATTAGTTCCAAGTGAAATATCTAAAAGTGAACAAGACAAAATAAATCCTGTAACAAAAGGAGACGATTCAAAACTCTACAACATATCATTCCCGAAATCCCGGCCATGAAGCTGAAACAAAAATATTCTTAAAAAAAATAAAAATCAGTTATACCTTCTGAAGCCTGTGCAACAAATAGGTCTTGAACTGTCGAACTCCACGTCCACTCGACGTCCGATCCATCTCATGAGCCTTCTCAAACGCATGGAATCGGCCTGATTGCATAAAAATATAAATAAGCATAGCAGCAATTATATAATGTATTGTTTATGTAGTGTATAAATACATGAATATTTGTTTTGAAAAGAAAAGGCAAAGGTAAAGGAGAAGTGGAGGAGGTTACGTACAGAGATAGGCGACCCGAGGATTTTCCTTCTCAATCTCGTTAGCAACGCGAAGAATAGGAGCGATAAAGGCCAAAGAAGACGGCACAACCTCACTATCAACAAGAGGACTATCCTCACCAGCCAAATTCAACACCATCGTCTGCGCTCGCGTCATTTTCCGAGACAGCGAACGCAGCGGAACCCCTTCATTCTTGGTCCCACTCGAACTCGCCATCTCCAATCACACCAAGCCAATCCACAAAAAGCAATAGAAATTATAACAACAATGCCTTTGATTTCAAGTTGAGAAAAGACGATCCAGGTTCCTTTGATTTTCGCTATCTTGTTTGTTATGCTAGAGAATGTTGCCGCAGTGGTGGTAATCGTGAGAATGAGAGAGGACATACTTCTTTTTGTATATATAGAGAGAAAGTGGATGCTTTGAGTGTGGAGGGGGTCAAAGACGCAAAGTGATTGCTCCGGTAGCCAGAAAAGAATTGGATTTAGGGAATTTTTTTTTTAGAGGTGGTGCACTTTTTGCTTTTGTAAGTGCAAGCTGGGATTGGTGGCGGGAATTGTAAAGGGAGGCAGAGGGTTTCTTTTTCTTCTTGGATTTAGTGTGACGTTTTTCACGCGACAAAATACCTGCTTCCACGCCATCTTAGCACACGTGTTTGCACTGCACTGGGAGAAATTATTTGGATTTTCTGTTTCTTTCGTGGGTTTAGCCCTTCTTCTTTTTCGCATTTGCTTTTCGGACGTCGGGAGCATTTTTGGAATTCGGAGGCGAACAGAATCGAGAAATTAATTATGGTCCTTGATGTGTTGGATATTTATTTTTAGTCTATATATTTAAGAAAATTTGAATTTAGTCATGAACTTTAAGAGCTGATTAAAAACTCTGATTGTATGCCACTGGATGAGAGCGAAATTTAGTGCAGTGACCCGTCACCCGCTCATACCAGAACGACCTATGAAATTTTGTAGCTCTATATTGAAATGAGAGAGTCTAGCACTATTGAACTAAGCCCTGTTTGGATCATGGTCCAAGACTCATTTAATAAAAACCTGTGGAAAGAAAAGAAGGTATATTTGTTAATTTAAGATTGTCCACGTTTAATAAAAAGTCTCAATTACAAAATAAAAATTATTTAAAACTCCACTTTATATCTGCATAAAAAAATATCTTTTAAATATATTAAAATATTTTATTTATAGTCTTACCAAGATTCGATTAGCTATAAGCGTGTTGATGAATCTTTTTGCACATGTATTAGTAAAGGAAGCCCTTTTCTTGGATTTAGCTGCCTTTTGCCCTCTTTAAATTATTCATTGATCATTGATTCAGCTTGCTTGAAAACTTTGCTCCTTCGGATGTAGCCTTTTTTCACTTAAATTTTTTTAAAACTTATAAAGAATGCTTGATAGTGAATTAAAACTAGGAATATTTCTTTGCCACTATTTCATGCGAAAACTCATTCACGACAATTAAATTTCACTCTACATGAATGAATGGGAAGAATGGAGCATTCAAATGTATGTATCTTCATGTCCAGTGAAACCAGTCGAGCTTCTCGAGTTTCACGTTCAAGTTAAGGCAAATGAATTATTAATAAAAAAATTATTTTTTTATTTTAAATTAATATTTTTTTAGTTAATTGATATACTAATATTAAAAATAATTTTTAAAAAAAATATTATTTTTATATATTTACAAATAAAATATACTTCAAAAATAACCACACAGGGGCAATTAATTAACCGAGCATAACATATGGAAATATGTGTTCACATAAAATGGCGCAACTTTAAGAGAGCGGGCTTTTAAAAAATTTATTTTTTTTATTAAAAATTAATTTTTTACGTTTTAATGTAATTTCAAAAATAATTTTTAAAATATAAAAAATATTATTTTAATATATTTTAAAATAAAAATATTTTAAAAAACAATCTCAACTACAATTTTAAATAAACCCTAACATCCAGGCGATAGCTGAACGGGTAAGTTATCGGAGCAAAGGCATGCATAAGAAATCCTTCAGACCCTCTTAGCAGCACAAGAAAGGTAAAATATATGAGGTGAAAGAAGAACAACCCTTTTGAGATGTTAGCAAGAATCTTTTCATAGAGAGGCCTTCTAGGGTTGACTCTTCCATGGAGGCGATAAGAAAGTGGAACTATAAGTTGCGAAAACATTAGTCTCGATTACTATAATAACAGTTATGTACAATCATTGATGTCAAAAATTGATACCCAATCGGGAGTACGTAATTTAAACGTGAGGAGTGAAGGAAGCAGCTGGCTCCTCGTATTGCACAATTGAACTTCCACTCGTAACAAATACAGCTTTCTACACTTTCCGCCTTCTTTAGCACTGGTGCTGTAATCATGCTTATATTGGACTCGCTTTTAACACCTGCAATGAAATTAAAAGAGAGAGAGAGAGGGAGAGTTTTAGTATTTTTGGTGCAGTTTCATGCTCAGGTAAAAATGCACAAGAAAAAGTAGTTGCTGCAATCACAAGTTTATTGCAAAAGCACCAAGATTACCATTACCTACGAGGGTAACAAAGAAGAAACCTTCCTTCTTGTGAAATTAAAAGAGAGGGAGAGGGAGAGTTTTAGTATTTTTGGTGCAGTTTCATGCTCAGGTAAAAATGCACAAGAAAAAGTAGTTGCTGCAATCACAAGTTTATTGCAAAAGCACCAAGATTACCATTACCTACGAGGGTAACAAAGAAGAAACCTTCCTTCTTGTGATGGTAACCAGTATAGAATTCTGAGTTTTGGCGTCTCAAAGCCCCCACATAAATAGTTCGATGGGACAACTTCCCTCTTAAGGTGTATAAGCATCTAGAGTAGACTTCTAGCTTAAAATGCTACCCATGCTTGGAATTTATATGCTTTACAATATCATCATCTAACTCTAAAACATAATTCACAATATTTGTAGCTTGACTTGTGCGTTGGGCACCTTTTATCTACATACTTCTAGGCAGTTAAAGGAACAATGCTAGGCGTCATTGCTAGGATTTCTAAACAATGTCCAATATGCCACAATAAGGATTTTCTAGTTGAACTTTCAGAAAATTTCAAATTTCCAATTCCGAAATGCCATTTAACATCAACAACACCTACACGAGCTTGAGGAAATAATTAGTTTCTATATATATATAAAAAAAAATACCTGATTCTTTGAAGTTGTTGCAGCAACCCAGTGCCGAGGATTCAGTGTTTCTTCCGCCCCATAACTGATGAAAGTTACTGCTCTTGATTGTGCTTGCATATTTGTAACCGAGGCTGGCAATTCTCTCATGACCCATAATACAAAGGCTGAGGGCACTGATGAACCTGACAAAAACAAGCTTATAGCAATAATAAACATGCCGCTGACAAATTAACAAAAACATGTGTCTTTCAGCTGAATAAAAAATAATTTTGCCTCCATAATAGCAAAAAATAAGACCCGTCCCTTAAAATCCAAGGACTAAAGAAATAGTAAATGACAAAATAATTTTATCAATTAAAACCTATTAAATCATGGGTCGCTTTCTGTTATCAAGGGAAGTATCTCTCAAAGAATCCAATCTGGCTAGTTGAGTAAAATCTTTAATTCTCAACATTTAGCATGGATGTATAAAATTGATATCCTCCCAAACCCGATAGTGTAATAGCACAGTGATACATTTGAATATCACACGCCCTGCCCCCTTCTCCAACTGTCAAACTTCTTCCATTGGTGATGGATTCATAACATAGATACAGCTCTTATACTTCCAGTTTCATAGCAAAGGCATAATAGCACCTTGAGGAATTCGGTTAATCTGAACCTTGGTGCCACAAGTTAATGCTACTAAGTCCGGCATTTGAAAACATGGACCTAGATGATCAAGCACACATACTTAGTGCTCACAGCATGTCTGAGTTTACTGTATCAAACAACCAATCTTTGAGTATGCTGAAAAACATACATAAACAAGGTCGAGGGAGTACCTATAAAATAGTAAAAAACTAGAAGAACTAGTGTTTTCACTTCATTTATATTCTTCATACTCCAATGATATAGAAGCTGCCAAAGGAAATGAGATTAAAAATTGTACATGTCAAAGGCAGGAACCGATAACCCCAGCAGCCATCAGCCACTTACAGGTATATCTGTAAGAAGAGCTACCGCAGCACTTGACATAAAACATACAACAGAGACAACTGCTAGGCCAGCAACCTGCATATCATGGAAAATTTTACAAAATCTTACCACAATCAAGTTATTTGTTTTATAGATTATAACCCTCAAAAGAATAAGAATATAGTTGGATATTATAAACAAAACCTATAACGAAAGGCAAACACAAAGAGAATACCTTCCGCATCTCAGATGAAGCTGTCTCAGACCTTACTTTCCTCAATTTAAGAAATAGGATAAGACCTGAAAAAACAACCAGTGAAATATAGTCCAAAGAAAGGACTTATATAGGTAACAACGCATGAAACCATTCATTCTAGCACACCAGTTAAGAAGCATAGATGGTTAAATAGACACAATAAGTTATAGTTTGAAACACATGCATGATCATAAACACTGTACTAACTGATGAGAGGTGGAAATGAAAAGTCACATGGCTGATGGCTGGAAACAAATACATGATGAATCAACACTGATTATGGATACAACCATAATTCTTCTTCACTTAGCTGCTATAGAGCTATTCATTAACTTGGATCCTTTTGTACCCATGTGAATTATAATAGCCACAACAAGCATTTTCTGGAACTTCCTTTCTTTAACTATATGTTTTTGTTATCCTCTATTCAAAAAGAGAATAGATGGACAAATCTACCTTCCATCCAATCATATGGTAAAGTAGGAGAGAAAGCAAGATAAAAAGTGGATCGATGAAAGTATTACCATAGGATTCATACACAAGATATAACACAAAATCAGCATAAAAATGGACATGATGATTCATACAACAGAGAAGATAAGCTCAAAAGTGGCTGAAAATAGTAAAAACAAAGAATTACAACCATGCATTGGCCAAGGAACCAACCAGTAACCTTATTTTATGATTAAGAATTTACTCTTCCAACATCTATTGGTAGACAACTAATCAATAGAATATTTAGCTGAGCAGACGTGTATCTGAAAACGTCACATTTCTTTATGGTAGATATTTCTCAAATTGTAACATATTTTAATATGCCATAGTAATTTCCAAATAAATTTAACTGACACAGAAAAATATTGCAGTTACTTACCATAGCAACCCAAAGCCCCTCCCAGTACAAGGATTGCAGTAGCAAAAAGATCTACATATACCTGCCCAGTATATTCAGGTAATTAACAATGATTTGTAGTACTGAAGATAAAATGCGTGTCATATATATTTTACCTCAGCTTTTCTGTCATTCACAGAAACGCAATTCATTCACAACTTCCAGAAGATTTAAAGAACTAACAATTAAATCCTTAAAAAGAAAAGGTTCCACTATTTTCATGTGCTGTATCATTATAAGCAGGAGGAGATGAATTTAATACCCGAGCAACTACTGAAGAATCAATTGGATTATTTCCCGCTCCAATCCAGATTACTACAGCAAATGACAGCATTAAGAAAAAGATCAACACCACAACCTACAGTATTGAAAAAAAAATCATAATCAGAGAGAGAGCGACAGACAGAGAGCCATGATAGTCCAAAATCAATAGAAGAAGTATGAAAATAAAAATCACAGAATCAAAAAAACTTCTCATACTGCGATAACAAATTTCTGATGACTGCCAACTTGAATGCCACGGAATGAGCAGCATCTCCGATAACTATCTGTGTTCATTGAACCAGGTTTATTCTTTGAACTTTCCAACAAAGGCTGTTGAGAGCTATTTTCTTCATCTTCATCATCATCTTCTTCTTCATTTGCCTGATGGCAAAGGTCGACCCTATAAATCATTACCCATGAACAAGATATATGTAGCTGAGGGCCTTAAATGCCAAGAAGATGACCTTCACATGCATTTGCAGACTAGTTTTATTAATCAAATTCACGATGTGCAAAGTACCATGTCAACTTCAAACTTCTTCCAGCAATATGTCATGTTGGCCTACTATGAAGTATCTATAATTAAAGACATCTAAAGCCCAAAGTTTCCCAAGATTAATTCCATAACTACAAGATAAAAAATAAATAACCATGTTGATTAGTTGATATAAATTAATAGAAATCAGCTCAAGGAACCAAACCAAGAACATAGTAAACCTATGCTTCAATTTGGTGAAGTTGGTTCTATATGTGAACTAGATCAAGTTTTTGTGTCATTACATTCCATGCTACTGGAGCATCCTCTTTTTAATAACATAATAACCAATCACATAATGAAGTTCAAAGATGTTCGGGTAGCAATGACATATTGCAACTGACCCAGTCTACAATTTCAGTTTTTTATGTATTTGCCTTATCTGATTAATCTCTAATTTGTCGCTCTTAACTGTCTTTCTTTCTTCCCCTTACACATCCCTAGAAAACATAATAGACAGGACCTTTATCCACCAAATCTACCCATCAAACACCATTTGAAGAAGTATTCATTGGCCTTGCAAAATTTGTACACCACATAGGACAAAAAAAAAAGATCTTCCTGCTACATGAGTATTGCCTCTTCAAGGCTCCAGAAACTAATTACGGCCACATCAAAGTATTTCTTTCTGCTGTAAATCCATCCTTCACTATGTTCTACTTGAATGATCTTCTCTTCAAGTTGGACAAAGAAAAAGTCATCGTTGATCTCCATGTGAGAACCAAGAAGACCAAATACACTATCTTACATATAAAGCAAGTGAAAATAGATAATCTGACCCAGAAAATAGAATAAAGCTTTCAAAGGTCCTGATAAACTTACCAGAAAGACAGAAGAAGTAGAAACACTGCAAAAAACAGAATATTGGGAAAAGCTGCAAGAAATTTCACAAGTTTGCTAAGACCACTCAAGTAGACAGAAATAATAAAAACCTGTATAAAAGTAATCTAGAGGAAAGCCTACCCATTAGGATAAAACCACATGCATGAGACCAGCAAAGCCACCTATTACAAGTAGCCATGATGGTGGATATAAAGTAGATGAAGTAACCTGCCGAACAGAAATCAAAATCCTGAAGATTAATTACTTCTGCAGAATAGTTTTGGGCACTCTTTCACAATACCTTAATGCTTCCAAATTTTTCAGTATCAAGACAACAGGATCAGGGTTACAGCTTTTTACTGACTATATAGAGCAGCTGAGAAGTCCTCAAGAGTGGTTTTTAAAATGAAAAATCAGAAAGCTTGATAGAGTTTAGATGGGATTAAGTGCTAAAAAAGACAAATAAATTTTAAGATATCAAGGAAACCAGTCAGTTAAGTAGCTAATTGGAAGATTTAAAAAATTAACATGGTAATCATGCAATAGACCAAATGCCTAGACATTGCAAATTTCCTTGAACAGATGTGTTTTTCCAATTTATCATGATCAGCATGCTTAGAATCGTATCTAGTTGCAATATCCATATGAATGTGTACAAAGAGAGGGTAGCGTGCCCAAACCTTGCACTAAAACATCATTTTGATCAAATAAAAGCTAGATGTAAATTCAGAAACTCATGAAAAAAAAAAACAAGGAATTGGAAATGCAAGTCCTATCAAACCTTTGCACAGTATGGTAAAATTTCTCAAAGCATGCTATTCTCTCCAGAAATCATCTGGCTTGTGAAATGATTGACAATAAATGCAGAGGTTGGTGACATATTACTTTTTTATGAATCCTATTATTCCATTAATTAATTCATTGCTAAAATGACCATGATTTGCCAAACATGAGTTCAGAAGAGTCATTGCACTTAACACTATACTGAGATAAAGAAAAATCTTTGCTATATGAACCCTAATGCCTTAGACTTACCCAAGTTGCAAGATCCGACCATCAGATGGAGTACCTGCAATTAACACCCCCACCACCAAATGAATATCCTTAACAAGTCAAACTAGATTCTAACAAAATAACACGATTTGCATTCGGTTTCATAACGACAATGGATTGAAACTTCCTGTAGCAGAAAATCCTCTGATAGGTGCCATGGCATGAAGGTGAAAAATCCCAAAAAGGGAGAAGAAAATGATATGTAAGATTTTTAGGGGCGCCTCACAGGGATGGATTTCGCCTAATGCAAGGAGATAGGGCTTACTTTTTGTCGTGTCCATCCAGATTGTTGATTTCGCAGAAAAATCCTGATAAGCTGATACATAGCTAGAAAATGTCAGAAAAATCAAATAAAAAAAAGGTGGGGAAATCAACAATATTAACATGCAAGGAATTTAATGCAAATTTGTTATAAACATACTGAGGACGTAGAAGTCACACAGTTCATAGAAAAATTTCTAGCAATTCAGAGCATATATTCAACAACGATTTCCAGCATTTAAATGCACGCTCATACTTCAAACCTTAGTGAACAAAGCTCCACTCGAACATCTCCTTTTGACTGGTATCTATTTGCCCAGAATATAACATGCAAGAATCACAAATTGGGAACCTTGAAAGAAAATATAAATTCCGATACCAAGCACTTGTAATATTCTAAGTATCTTTTTTATCCATCCCTCAAATTCCAACACAACATAAAATCTGCCCTTTTCACTAATTCAACCCAAACCCAATTCTAAGTACATTCAATCAAACAGAATCAATAACTCATCATTACTTATTCCAGTTATCTACCAATCCCAGATTGTGAATTCCAATGCCATCAAGAATGATACAAAGTAAGGGGGTATACACGAAAAAGAAGAAGAAAAGCAAGACAAAACCTGAGAGAATGCAATAGAGGCAAGAGCACCATCGATGCAAGCAAGAGCTATGATAGCAATAAGCAGGTCCAAGGGATAGCAGCTTGATTTTAGATTCATTGGTTTTTCTTATTTTATTTGTAGCCCACTGAAAAGAATCTCGCAGCAGGAGGAGCAGCCTGGGCGAGGAAAAGCTAAAAGAGAAAGGGAAAGAGAAAGGGAGAAACGGGGCTGTGTTATTTATTATTATAATTACATTTTTTCCATGTGTGGTTTTTATAATTTATATTTATACGCTAAGGAGTACCTAAAAATACGACGATATGAAGTGTACGGAAAGACAGTGACACAGGATCTGTTCAATGTGCTGAGTCGCTCCTCTCTTGTTTTGGCCCTTTGGCGTCCTCTTGTAGTTGCTTACCTATGCTACCTTAGCGACCACCTTAAAATGGCTTCTCTTTTTCCTTCCTGGCTGCCTGTGAATTTGCCCAGAGAGGTTTGGTCGGCCTTATCTTGAAGTATCCCGACTTCCGACGTATGCACCTCTTGATGGAGTTTTTTCCCACGTTAGCTTAGCGGCAAAACTTATTTTCCAAACAAGAACGTTTGGGAAAATAATTTTCACAATAACACACAATTAGTGGTTTCACATTCAGTATATGTGCAATTTATAGGTTGCGCTTGTTAATGGACCTGGACCACTAGAACCATGGGCATGTCGTCATCGAATATTATAAACATGATCATTTTTTTTATTGCACTCATAAGTGAAGAATGGTACAATGAGAATCAAGTATTAAAAGCACCGTGTACAACATTATCAGTAGCATCACGAACTATAGCTACAGCTCTTCGGCACTCTCGTATTAAAAAATTCACTTAATAAGATTGTGAAAAAGATTATATTATCTTTTTTATTATAAGAATTTTATTACATGTTAAAAAAAACTATTCTATACATAGCAATCTATTATATCTTGGTGCATGAGACTTATAATTATATAAATTACATGTCGGATCTCATAACACATGATAATGTTATGAATTACTTTGTTATGTTTATGTATAGATCTAAATTAATAGGTGAATACAATGTTGTAAATACATAATCTCTTCAATAGGTGGATATAATGCTATAAATGCGTGATCTCTCCACACATGCCACTAATTGACATATTGTACATGAACCACCAACCAATCATCTTCATCTTTACCTTGATTATTAACATCATACATGTTATCAAGTGTGTTAACATCAATATGTATGTGTTGATGCAATCCAAACTGATGCATTTCATGATCAAGGCAATACGCATTAACTATGGCAAAACAGTGCATATGAAATCATTACTAGCCGTAAATCACTTCTTTTATGCAAAATAAAGATGCGCTTCCAATCAAATCAATAATGTACGGTGTTCATATCACCTATGAAACCACAAAACATATATATATATATATATATAGACACACAATATCCATACAAAGAAATGAATAATTCAATTTACACATACCTGGTGAGGCTCATGTGAATCCACCTTATCTCGATAGAAATCATGAATATGGGTAGGATTTTATGTATGATGCTTAGACCTTTCTCGAACCTAACTAACATGTTCAAGACAATTAAGCTAGACAATTTTTTTATAGAAATTTTAAATTTAACAATGTGTTCATAATTATTATTACCAAACTCTAATTGAAAATCATCTTCCCGTAATCGTGTTGAGTATATGATTTCTCCAAACATCAAGATGACTAATATGAAGATGCTCTCACAAACATAACTATATATTTACAATAAAAAATTAGTAAATATTTAAATTAACTATATTTAATAGAATATAATATCAAATTATACATGTAGAAATAATAAATATTTGCCAATTTGTTTTCCATTTGACATGCATTATGACATGTGATGGTGGGCTTGCATAACCATAGAATTATGACATGTGTGAAGCTCATTCAATTTTAAAATCTCAAATGAATTAGAATTTATGTGATATCGTTTAAGTAAATACCATTAACTTGATGGTTCATGTTTACATTGTAATTGCATATAAGTTGTGGTTGAACGTTGCACTTTGTATTGAAGAGAATTTTTTACATATCACCAATTAACTATATTGATCAAATCAACCTTGGTTCAGAATATTTATCTAACCTCTAACTCAGTATTTATGACTGGATTCCTACGAATCAAAACTCATCATATGAGCAGACCCACCAGCATCTTTAAATTTAAGAACAAGGGGTCTCATTGTTTGAATTATTGGCTCACATTACTTATCTTCCTTAACTATATCATCGGCATAACAATCATTTTCCTCATCACTTGGTTTACATTCATCATAACAATGTAGAGTCTTTACCATACCCAACTAAGGTTGCATATAAACCATTTCTTGAACCAATGTTAGGTTTAATGCATCACCAACTGTCCTAGATAGACATGCTACATGTGATGATTTTATGGTCCTTTGACTGTAACTTGAGACCCGAGTCAACTCTAAACTCGATTTTTCTACTTTAGGTGTTTTACTCAAGTAGAACTCTAATATTTATAACCAACTCATTTGCAATAATCAACCCAACCGTTGCATTAAAACTCATATCATTAGTAATGGGCACACCAATATAGCACCCACCCAACATCTTCTAAGGAATATCAGCATCAAATTCGGCTAAATTTCATCCATTCCTCGACACACTTAGTTCTTCAATTCGTCAAATGAATTGTTTTACCTCAAGCTATATAGCTCAATACTTCATTTATGATAAATGATACCATTATCACTATCGATGATTTTACCATCGTAATAACATAAAATTACCACTATAGAAGACATGTTCTGTGAAAAATCACAATAAAACACAATGCTAATTTGTCAATATATCAAATTATTCAAGTTACATTAAAAATCCATAATTAAAAACATAAACTTAACCCTAACACTAACATAATCAACATAACATAATTCATTGATTTTTCTTAGTAAATAAAACAATATTCACACTTATTTAACTAATTTCATATATAATTAATCTTTAATTAGGCAAAATCAATAAAAACCTTAACATAAACCTTAAAAAAATTCATAAATTAACTAAGTAAAAGAACAAATTACTAGAAGGGAATGTGAATATACCTCAAATAGGTTAAATAGGGAGCTAATATGTGGTGGCGGTGCCAGTGGCAATGAAGGTTGAGATTAAACTTTGTTGTCATAAGTTAATGGCTAGAGAAAGAAGCAACAATTGAAAAAAAAAAAGGTCAGGTTTGTCATGGAGATGAGAGAGAGATATGATATTTTTTTGATATTAAAGGCTAAGATGAGGTTGTTTGAGTTGAGAGTGGTGCAAGAGGATGGAGAAGCAATGGAAGATAGAAATAAAAAAGTAGGGAAAGAAGAAAAGAAAGGGAACTTCAAAACTAATTAACCAAAAGATCATGCTAATGTTAAATACACCTTGCACGACCAATAAATCATGCATATAGTATTAACGTGATAAGTGGTTGCGCCTTTAGTATATGTGCAACTTGGTGCTTGCACATATAATATTACTATGACCTATAGGTTATGTATATATTACATCTGCAGCCACTATTTGTATGTTATTATAAGAATTATTTTTCTAGTTATACTGGTTTGGAAAATAAATTTTTCTATATGGGTGGTGGGGGGACCTGCTCAGCAGAGTTTGACCGTAACTCTTGTCATGATTTAAGTTTAGTTCTTAACTTGTAAGATCATTTGGTGTAATGCTAGAGAGGTATTTGGTACCCCTATAATAAATCTTAGATGTCTCAATATCATGATTCTTTAGAATGAGGTTGCTTCTTAATAATATCATTTTTACTTTTTACTATATTTGAGAATCATAATTTTTTTTAATATAAAAGTTCATAATTTTTTTAAAACATTTGTATTGTCATTGCTAGAAATAAAGCTGTTAGTTGGGGAGTTCTTTGAAAAAAAATATAAAGTTTTAATTTTACTTTTTTTTATTATATGTTTTCTTAATTTTAAAAGAATATTATGTCATGCCTCAGAGAATATGGGATTCCCTATAACATAATATATCATGCATGTATATTTATATTTACTACAAAAAATAATCAACTCCATAAGTTGGAAAAATTAAATTTGTTTAGCTTTATGATTCAAATTGAGATTTAAAAAATAACATATTATTTTTAATACATACATACATACATACATATATATATATATATGCACAATACCTAAGATAGTATGATTCGTCGTTTGCAAGGAGGGAAAATTCAGAAGGGAGAAAACCTACTATGTGATCACGACAAGTTGTGCATGATTTGTAAGTATGATAAAATTATGAAATTTCCAAGAACACCCCATCTGATTGTAACATTCCTGCACTGTCGACAAGTTGTGCTGCCAAAAAAAAACTGACATGAGAATAGATTGCTTGCCAAATCTGTAAATAAATGGCTGCTAATTGCTCATGAAAACATTTAACCAAGATTTCTTAATAAGAAAGCGTTACTTTTTGTCGATTAGCAGTAATTAAAAGAGAAATAAGAGATGCAAGTGACATCCCATCTTTGATCTTTCTGTCGACCGAAGGGTTACTTTGGATACGGTGTCCGTCACTGTCGATCTGATTCGACAACAACTCACTTGGGCCACGTAATTTAATTTATCAACTAAAATTAGCCTAAAGATAGTATTTTGTTCAACCACAAGATGCGTTTTCCTCTTTTACAAGTGATTTTTCACTATTCTAAACATTTGTCAAAAATTATAGTGGTCTTTTATGTGTATACTGTTGGTCCAAAATTTATAGTGGTCTTTTCACTATCTTAAATGTTTGTCAAGATATATAGTCGTCTTTTGTGTGTGCGTGGTTGGTCCCTACTAATGATGTCGACGACTAACATATTCTTATTACAAGAATCAAGAAATCGATCACAGTAAAAATCTAAGATATTCATGTGTCCATTACTAGATATACATGAAAACGTTTTTGTTTTTCATGTTCTTCCCATATACGCCAATATTTTTTCTTCCTTTTACCATCTTCATATGGGATTTTTTTTTAACTGTTAGCAACTTTTTTTTTTAAATATAGATGAAATGATATAGTTTTTTTTTTAAAAAAAAAACATGTTTGGTATTGAAAACCACATAAATATTGCTTGAAAAACTAGAGAAAGGAAAGATAACAAAGAAAAAAAACTTATTCTTTGAGTTCATTAGTAAATAAGTTTATTTTTTGGC